GTGGGTGTGTGTGTCTGTGGGGTGTGTGGGGTGGGTGTGTGTGTCTGTGGGGTGTGTGTCTATGGGGTGTGTCTGTGTGCCTGTGGGGTGTGCCTGTGGGGTGTGTCTGTGGGGTGTGTCTGTGGGGGGGTGGCCATCCCCCACGTAGAAGGAGCTTTCTGTCGTCCCTTGGGCCCGTCTCCTTCCAGCCCCTCAGCTTCCCGTCCAAACCCCCCAGGGACACAGGCTGCCTATCCTGGCCACCCAGCTTGCCCAGCTGGCCTCCCCTGGCCACTCCGCCTTGCTCACCTCAGCTTTGCCCTGCATCACCAGTGTCCCCCGATGTCTGGACTATTTCTCCCTGGATCTATCTGTGACTTGTGCCCCACGTGCCGGGTGCTCACGCCCAGTCCCTGTCCCTGCCTGATGGCCTCTCTTGCCCTGGACCTGCTTTGGCTTGGGCTTCTCCCTCTCTGAGGGTTTGCTGGTTGCTGTCTGGATTGGGCCTGCCTGGCTGTGCCCCACAGAGGAGGTCCGCCCACAGAGACTGTCACCTTGGGACAGCCCTGCGCCCGGTCCAGGGTGGGGCGGGCCTGGGGCAGCACTGGGCCGCACAGGGCGTCGTGGTTCACAGTGGAGCTGCTCCCCGCAGGGAGACCGCAGGCGCTGGTGGAAAGCCACCCTCCCCCGTGGGCCTGCCTTGCGGCCCGCCTCCCTGCCAAGAGGAGGTGACCGCCATTCTCCTCCTCTTCCTTCTGGAGCATTTACCTCCTCCTGGAGTTCTCTGCAAGGGGCAGTACGGGGCAGCACGGGGCAGCACGGGGCAGTGGGCCTCGGATCCCAGGCCGTGGGGCCTACTTTAGCCTGGCGCTGCCTGGTGGCCTGCAGGTGCCTGGGCCTCGGTGGAGCTGAAGCCCACCACCTCCTCTGGCCCAGCAGGAGCCACAGGAAGGGCCCTTGATGAGGGATGCCCCTGTGGTCGTAGGGCAGACTGCCCATCGGCAGGTGGCCAGAGGTTGGCGTCCCCTGCGGGCCCTCGTGTCAGAGCTGTGCAAAGTGCGTCGCCCCTGGAAGCAGCTCGGTGCTGAGGAGGTTTCTGCCTGACCTGGCAGCGGACCCGCCTTCCGCAGGCCTCCACAGCAGCTCTGGGCTCCGGGCGGGCGGGCGGGGCCTTCACGCTCCGGGCTCAGGCCTCGTGTCTGTCCCCTCGCAGCCCCTTCCCTTTGCTGGTGCAGGGGAGCTCGGCCCCCCGGTGCGACGCAGCAGCTCACTCGCCAAGATGCACGACTCAGGCCTCACGTAAGGCTTCCGCTGGCCGGGCCTCCACCGCCACTGTCCCTTCCGGACATTTTCATCTCTTTGCCCAGGGAGAAGATGCGTGGCTTTGGGGTCTGCTTCTTGCTGAGCACGGTGTCACGCAGGCCCCTCTGTGTCCGTGCCCGGAGCTGCCGTGCTCTGTGAGGCCGAGCAGCACCTTGTGTGGCTGGCCATGGTGCTGGCTCCCTGGCCGCTGTGGGTTGCGCTGTGGTGGACACGTCGCGTGTTCTCACTTCCCTTGGGCACTCATCAGCTAAGTTCTGCCCAGCTCCGCCCCTCCTGTGGTGCGAGGGCCTGGCTTCCCTCTTCCTCACCAGCACCTGTCTCCTCCTGACCCTGGCACCTGGAGGATGTGGAGCACCTCCTGTGGTCCCGACTTGCATGTCCCGCTGCCAGGGATGCGGAGCACCTGGACGTGCCGGCCCCTCGGGGTCTGTGCTGGAGAGTGCTGCTCAGGACCCCGGCCTGGCTTTTGATCAGCCTTCCTGGGGCTCGACCCTCGGGTTGGTGTGGTGCGCTGCAACGGAGCACGCTGCTGTCCTGGACGGTGTGTGGTCTTCCCAGGGACTCTCCGAGGCCCTCTGCCCTGGCCTGGTAAACTGGAGGGCGGGGCCCAGGGATAGACTCCAGCCAAGGTATTTGTCTCAAAACTAGGGAGCCATCCATCCCACACGCGGCAGGCACGGCCACTCCCACGAGCTGCACCCCAGCCCTTTTGAAATTTCGTTTTGAGACTTGAGTCTTGCTAAGTTGCTCAGGCTGACCTGGAACTTGGCCTCCTGTTTGAGCCTCCTGACGTGCGCCAGCCTTGCTCACTGGTTATTGTGTGTGCACACACTTGGCTTGTAATTTCTTTCACAAAACAGGGCCAGTGCTGTGGATTGTGGACATTGTGAAGCATTTAGATTTTCTTCTTTATGCTTTAGCTACAGAAAAAGCCACTTGAAAGGGCACACACAGGCAGGGAGAGGCGCGTGCGGAGACTGCCTGGCACCCTGGCCTGCTCTCCCTTCCTGTGGCGAGCCTGTCCCGGAGCGAGAGTTTCCAGGTGAGAGCATGTGTTCGCCAGCCTTGTGGCGCAGTGGCCAGGACGCCCGGCCGGCACAGCTGAGAGGAGGAAGAGCATGTTTTGGTGCTGGTGGCAGAGGGACAGTCCACGGGAGGCTGAGCCCGAGCTGCAGCCCAGGGAGGCAGAGCGCCATGGTGGAGGGTGTGCAGAGGAGAGCGGCTCAGCCTGTGGCAGCCAGGGAGGAGAGCCAGGAGCCAGGGACAAGGCATGTGGTCCTGCCCGTCATGGAGGACACGCCTGTCATCCCAGCAGCTCAGGAGGCTGAGGCAGGAGGACCACATATTCAAAGCCAGCCTCAGCAACTTAGTGAGGTCCTAAGCAACTTAGCAAGACCCTGACTCGGAATAAATAAAAAGGGCTGGGGTGCGGCTCAGTGGTTAGGCGCCCTTGAATTCAGTCCCTGGTACCACCAACAACAGTGTGATGTCAGTGGCCCGCTGCCTCCAGCCCTCCCCACTGGCCTGCAGTCACTACCCTGTGAGTCCATTGTATGGGGAGTCCGCTGGAGAGGTCACAGCTCTCAGGCCTGGGATCTGGTCTCCTGGGCTACCAAGGCAGTGTCTGGGTCCCTCACGTCACACCAGAGCAGTGCTCCTGACAGTATGGTGTCATCGGCGTGGGCTGTGTGCACCCTCAGGGGTTCGCCCCTGGACCTGTGCGGCATGGGGCTCCCCGTTTCCCAGAGCATGAACCTGGCACCTCTCTAGACCCTGGCAGCTGCTGTCCAGGGTCTTCCATTCTGGCCCTGGGCACACTGCTCTGGACATGCTGGCCTGGGGCAGGAGGCAAGCATGTGGCAGGCCTGGACACTGGGTGACTTGCCCGAAGGCCTGGAGGGGGAGGCAGCCCCTCCTGCAGGAGCCCCAGGGGCTGGAGACCCCTCTACTTTGGCCACCTGGGGGCAGAAGAGGCAGCCCAAAAGAAAGGGGGAGGGGACGGGAGCTGGTGGGTGCCACTGGGTCCTGGCACATCCCACAAGGGTGGGAGACTCGGATGGCAGCAGAACCTGGCTGGGCACCTGGCTCCATGGCCTGCCCACCTCGGTGGCCCCTGTGGTCACCTGTGGGAGAGGGCGCTGCCGTGCAGTCCTGCAGGCACTGCAGGAAACACCCAGGGCAGGCTGACACCTAGGAGGCTTGGATGTGCTGGCCACAGCCACTGCCCATGCACCTGAGTCTCGGGACAGGTGAGACCAGGGGTTTTCACGCTGGGCCTGCCCCTCACCTCCCTGCCTGTTGCACTGCCTGCCGGGCAGGCGGCCTGCCGCGCCCTCTCGTGGGTGCTCCCTGGCCATTTAGCCATCACTGTGCTGGTCAAGGTTTCTGCTACCCTCAGCGGCTGGCTTCCCGAGGACAAGCCCAGAAGTCCCCAGTGGCATATGGGCATCTGGGTGGAAGGGCAGGAAGGACCAGGGGGTCCAGGAGGCTGTGGGGCTAGTGAGCCGCAGGGGAGGGTTCAGGTACAGGGCTCTGGGGTAGGTCAGCCTGGCTGGCAGAGTGTGGTGGCCTGGGCCCCTCGGACTCCAGGGCTGGGTCAGAGCTCCAGCAGGGGCGGCCTTCTGGGTGGGCAGCCTCTGTGGCCTGCGACATTGGCACCTGTTCTCTGGCGGGTTGGTTGTGATGGTCCCTTTCCTTCCTAAGCACTTGGGCAGTACTGCCCACTGTGTGGCCACCAGCCACGTCTGCAGTGCTGTGGCCTCCTGGCTGGCTCAGGAGGAGCCTGAGGACTCTGCAGAGCGCAAGGCTGTGGGAGGGGGCTCTGGGCAGGGCTCATCCCCTCAGGGCCTCACCAGTGCCGCGGGGGTGGGGTGGGGGGGTCCCTCAGAGCTGGTTCTGGCCCCCTGCACCCCAGATGGCAGCGCAGTGGTTGAGGAGGGCACATGGTGGACAGGGCAGGTGGTGAGGAGGCCAGTGGCCGCTTGGCCCTACTTCCGTCCGATGGAGGTGGGAGCTGGCTGGGCTTCCGGTCCGGCCCTGCGCAGGGTTTCTGGGTGCCTGCTGCCCTCTAGTGCCCACTACAGGGAGTGCGTCTGGGGAGCTGGTGGGCTGCATCTTGGTGACCTGGAGCCCTTTCTAGGAGGGAATTCTCTTGCCCTTTTGTCACTTCCTGGGTCACTCTGGGCTCTCGGAATAGGCAGGTGAACTTTTGAAACTTCTCCTTAGCTCTCGGTGTGCGCACTTGGCTTCCTGCCTCTTCTAACTCTAGGCGGACGCTGGTTTCTCCTTGTTTTGGAGAATTTAATCTGCAAGGAAGACCCTTGCCCGAGGCCGACTGAAACCTGTTCCTGGTGGTGGGCTGCCAGTCACCCCCTTGGTCCCCTTAGCTCCCGCAGCAGGTGGGAGCTGCCCAGCCTGTGGCCTCCTTGGTGAGAGGGCAGCCCAGTGCCCAATAGTTGCAGCGCCAGCGGCCCGTGGTGTGGTGAGCACCTCTGCTCTCCCGACCAGGACTCCTGCTTGGGTCCTGGCTCTGCTGACGGCAGCCAGCCAGGCCAGTACCAGAGTGCCCAGCGGAGTCCTGGCAGTGGGCTGCCCCGAGCTGCCGGGCTCCCTGATGGCAGTGTGTGGGAGGACGCCCTCACACTCCCGTTCTTACCTCTGGAAGCCGCAGCCCTGCTGTCCCTCGCACACGTCTGGCTGAGGAGCGGCTGTCTTGATTTGAAGCTGACCCAGAGAGCGTGCCGAGGGGCTGATCCGGGCAGCTTTCTTTCCTAGGGTTCTGCTTAAAACGAGTGCTGGCCCCAGGCTCGCCTGACGTTAAACAGGGCGCACTGTTTCTACCAGCTGCCGTCATGGTGGCTCTCGTGCTCAGCCCGCACGGTGAGCCGGCCCCAGCCCGCTTGCACCCCAGCTCCGTGCGAGGGCCCCGCTGCCCTGCCCGTGGTGGCCCTGGTGTTTTCAGTGATGGAGGGAGAGGAGGGGGGGAGGCGGCGGCGCTGACTTGCTCACCTCTGCTTCCCCACAGGTGCTGCCACCATGGGCTCTGAGGACCACGGGGCCCAGAACCCCAGCTGCAAAATCATGACGTTCCGCCCGACCATGGAGGAGTTTAAGGACTTCAACAAATACGTGGCCTACATAGAATCGCAGGGAGCCCACCGGGCAGGCCTGGCCAAGGTGGGTGATGACCTGATCCTGGCGCAGCCGCCTCAGCCTGCACTGCCCTGCTGTCCTTCCCACACCCTGGCTTGTCCTGGGCCCTCTGCAGTGGCCATCGGCCAGCTCGTGGTGCTCCCAGGGCCTGCGGGCGCCAGCAGGCGGTGAGACGGGCCCGCTGCCGTAGTCCCGGAGCCTTCTGGGCCCGGTGCTAGGAGGCCTCACTTTTTTCCTCCCTATTCCTGGTTGAACAATTTGCTTTTTGAGACAAGGTCTCGCTGTGCTGCATAGGCTGGTCTTGAACCAGCGAGTGCCGCTGTCCTCCTGGCCTGGGCGCCTGGTCGCCTGGACTGCAGGGCGGCACTGTGCCCAGCTGGAGCAGCTTCCCGTCTGGGCCCGTGGTGCGCAGGTGGCTGAGCCCCGCCCACAGCCCCCTCCCTGGAGATGGCACTGGTGGGGTTTCTTGAGTCTTTCCCTGCACCCTGTGGGGGGGTCACGAGGTCAAGGCTCGGGGACAGGACGTAAAGAGGATGAAAAGGGAAGGAACGGGGAGGTGGCACAAGGGGCCCGCGGCCTGGTGCTGTGAGTGCTGGCTGGCTCAGCCGGCCGCGTGGGTTGTGCTCGCTGCTGTGTGGCCGAGGCTTCCTCTGGCAGGCGGTTCTCTGCCACTTCCCTCTGCCACTCAGCCCAGGCGCGCAGTCTCTGCACAGCGCCAGACAGTGAGGGCGTCAGCCCAGGAGCCAGGACGGCGTGCAACTGCGGCAAGGTGCGTGCCAGTAGAACTGTCCCTGTGGACGCCGGAACGTGAACCTCAGGTCCTTCTCATTTGCCAGACACCGTCTTGTTTTTTCTTGCAACCATTTTGGAGAAAAGACTCTTATCTCAAAAGCTGGAGGAGTGGCAGTGGGTGGCTCTGACCAGGCCTCAGTCGCTAGCCCAGAGGCTATGTCTGTCCCCTGCAGCAAGTGGGCTAGCCCGCTCCTGCCTGCCTGGTTCTTCCTGGTGCTCTTGCTGGCTTTCGCGTCCCTCCTGGGGGTCCTCACATGACACTCCCACCCTCGCAGCCTTGGGGGCGGTGGATCTGCGTGCTGGCAGTGACCCGTGCCTCTGCCCTTGGCTTGTGTTCGTCACACACCCTGGTGAGGCAGGGTGGCAATTCCGCCACCTCTGGCTCCAGCCCCTGCCCGCTACGTGGCTCTGGCCTCCGGCCTCCTCCACGAGCCTCCCCAGCCGCTGTGTGGCTAGGGACTGCCATCTCAGGAAGGCTCCCGAGCCCATGGCGCTCTGCTGGCCGACCCCAGGGAGGGTGGTCGGTTCCCGTCCTGGGGCCTGCCTTCCCCTCGCGCCTGTGGCAGCTGGGCAGGTGGCTGTGACCTTTCTCCCGGCCCCACCAGCCTTGGCTCCTGGGGCTGGCCCACTCGTGTCTTGCTAGGGCACAGCAGCCCTTCCTGATCTGGGACCCAGGCCACCCTTTCTGTCAGCACAGTGGCGGTTTAGCCTCTGGCTGTCCTGGTCTCTCCTCGGAGAGTCCTTTAAATGTCACCTGGCACTTCCTGCTCCTGTCATTTCACTCCAGCCTGTTTCCAGTGCTCTGTCCCAGGCTGCATCTGTTCTGCCCCCTTCCACCTCCCCCTCTTCCTTTCCTCTTCACCCCTGTCACGTCCTGTCCCCGGAGCCTTGACCCCTCTGCCTTAAACTTGCCGTTCCAGTGGGCCGGCGTCCACGGCTGGCTGAGCTGAGGGCAGCCATCAGGTGGGCGCCCCTCCCTGCGCCCTGGCTCTGCAGCCCTTCTCCCTCTTATGAGGGCTTCAGGCACTGCCTTCTCTGACCGCGGGTCGCTGTTGCTTGTGGAGGGCAGGCCCCAGGCCCTGGCGCACGTGCACGGGTGCCTGGGGAGCGGGGCGGGAGGCGGATGCCACACGCATGCTCAGCTCTTGGCAGTTGCAGTCACATTGGTACCCACGTGTGGCACACCACACACACGTGTCCCTCCTCCCGCCACTCTGTGGGGACAGATGGGCTCAGGGAAGCATCTGCTCTGGCCACGGGCACCTCCGCTTTCCAGATGGGACCCTTGGCTCTTAGGACTGCCAGACTCTTGGGAGAAGGATCACAGTGTGCTGCTGGCTCTGTTTGAGCCATGGGGACGTGTGTGTCCCCCTCACCTGGGTCTCTTTGGCCTTGACCACCCTTTGTGTGTGAGTGCTGGGGTTCCTGCTTTCACTAGAACTGCACGGGTTACCCTGCTCCCCAAGATCTGCAGGGCCTGGGAGCAGGGAGCAGGCTTCCTAGGTCCAGACTAAGCCAGGGCTAGGGACGCCTAGCGGGAGCCCCCAGGGCACGGAGCCTGGCACTTCCTCGACCTCCGATAACTAAGTACAGGCAGGGCCTGATCAGGCTTTCCAGAGCCAGGCGGCTCCCTCAGCCCTCCTGGGAAGCGCTGGGCAGGAAGCGCCCCAGGAGCCTGGCTTGTGGCTCCACTCTGGGCCGAGGTTGGCGAGAGGTGGGCACCAGCGGGTCTTTCTGAGACTCCTCCTCAGCCCTTTTGTGTCAACTGAGGCCTCGATGCCCGGGCACCTGGGAATGGTGTCTGGTGCAGGTTGTGTACCACCTGGTGGGCTGCTGCTGCTGCTGCCTCCTCAGGGTGGCTGTGGGCTACAGTGCCTGGACCACCCACGTCCACCTCCCTGCGTGTGGACATGTGGCTGCCCAGTCCTCCTGGCCTCAGCTAAGCCACACAGAAGGGCCAGTGCAGGGCCGTGCCACCTGGAAGGTGGCGAGGGGGGGCCCTAGGAGGCATGTTCTCCAGGACACTTTCTTAACCCTTTCTTCACCTGGGACCTCCAGGGATCCTCCTGTCTTGGCAGGACTCGGAGGGTGTCGCACGGGGTGTGGCTTCCACCCACAGCCATGGCTTTGCGAGGAGTCTTGCTCCTGCAGCTCAGCACCTGCTCGGGGTGTGTCGCGCACGGCCAGGGGTCACCTGGTGTGTCCTTCCTGTTTTCCCATGTGTGTGCTGCAGCTGTGCCCTTAGTGGAGGGGACAGTGAACGAAGCCGCCCGGTGTTCCTGGTGGGTGGCCTCCACATGTGTAAGCTCACCGGCGGCTGTGGGCTGGCCTGGCCCTGGCTGGTGGCTCCCTGCAGTGGAAGACACCTGCTCTGTATAGAGGGGGTGTCACCTGCCTGAATCCAAGGCAGCGTGGGGTCATAGGCCCACCGTTTGCGGCGGCCATAGCAAAGCTTGTGGGCTGGCCGCATCCTGGTCCCTGTCTGCTTTTCCTGCCTCAAGTGTCGTTACCCTCTTCAAGCCCTGGAGGGTCACACAGCAGCAGGGGGTGCCCCGTGGGGTGTGTTAGAGGAGGCCTCGGGAGCCCCCTGCTCAGGCCCTTGCCCTCTCCAGCTCCAGTCCCTCCCGCACTGTGCCCTGGGGCTGGCTCCTGCTCCAGGGGCATCCTGGAGGTGGCCGGGGCTGGGCAGCGTCCCTGACTTCCACTCACTCCAGGCCAAGACGTCTCTAGTCTTGGTGGCCACAGACGTCCCCGCGGTCGGGCTCGCTCCCTGGGTGCCAGCCCTCGCTGCCGTGGTGGCGTGTGGTGGCGTGTGGTGGCTGAGCCGTGCTGCTGCTCACCACTCTAGGTGCCTGCTGCCATCAGGTGTTGGCATGGCTCAGTGGGCCTGGGCTTTTGCCAGGTGACAGCAGTGTCCTGGGGGACGGTCAGTGGCTTTGGCGACTGGGAGCTGTTACCCGACAGCAGTGCATGGCTCTCCATTGCGGCCTGGAGGGGACAATTGACGGCCCCAGGGCTCTCAGCTGAGGGTGGGAACAGGTGGCTTAGTTCTTGCCCCCAGAGCCAAGGGACCTGGAAGCTGGCTGGGGCCTGCTCATGTCCGCCTGGGAGAGGGCACTGTGGGCTGCGGGCGGCAGCAGCGCCAGCTCAGGCGCTCATTGCCCCAGCTCAGGCCCGCAGCTCCTCAGGCCAGTCCCTGTGGCCTCGCGGCCCTCACCTCTCAGATGGGGAGGCAGGGGGCCGGGTGAGTCCCTGTCCCTGCGCCATTCAGGACCTCCTTCTCTGGCTGTCATCTCCCAGTGTCTGGCCTCCTGCTGGCCTGGGCCGCTCCTGAGGCTGTCATGCTGGCCGTGAGTCCAGGCATTCTGGTCCACCTCTTGCTCTGTCCCCTGGTGGGTACCCTTGTCGGATTGCGGGCCTCCCTCTGCCTGTCCCTGTGTGTGAGGAGCAGTGCTGTACCTCCCCCATGGGTGTCGCAGGGGACAGCAGACGCAGCCCTGTACCTGGCTGGGAGCTCCTGTCCTGCCTGTCCCCTCCTCTAGGAATCACCACTGGTCCCAGTGGGTTGGGGACTTTGTCTCCCAGTGTCTCCTGCCCCCAGAACTAAGCTGGCCTCCTCGCAGGTGGTGGTGGGGAGACCAAGCAGCCCCTCGGTGGTGCTGCAGGTCCTGTGCTCAGCCTGGCTCTGGAGTGGCAAGTGGAAGGTCTCAAAATGCAGCCTCCATATGTGGAGGCACCAGGACACCCGCTGCTCAGCTGTCACCATGCAAGCCCCTGGTGGGTGGGCCTGGCGCTCTGGGGCACTCCTGGCTTCCCTTGTGCCAAGCTCAGCAGGAGCGCCAGGGCCCCGGTTCTGCAGGGCCCCCGTCAGTCAGCACCAAGGTCTGGGGTGGAGGAAGCACAGCGGCAGACGGGGCGCCAGTGACCACTCCTTGGCCTTGCAGATCATCCCCCCGAAGGAGTGGAAGCCCAGGCAGACCTACGATGACATCGACGACGTGGTGATCCCCGCCCCCATCCAGCAGGTGGTGACCGGGCAGTCGGGCCTCTTCACGCAGTACAACATCCAGAAGAAGGCCATGACCGTGGGGGAGTACCGCCGCCTGGCCAACAGCGACAAGTGCGTGCAGGCGCCGGCCCAGGCTAGGTCCAGGCACACGCTCAGCCACACAGCCCAGCCCAGCCCACAGCAAGGCTGCCAGGGGCACCCGCCACGGTCAGGCACACCTGATCCCCTGCCCTCAAGTGTCCATTGATGGCCCTTCCGAGAAGGTCCCCAACACCTCCCCATGTGCCACTCCCCTGTCCCACATGGGTGTGAGCTGCATGCCCCAGGCATCCTGGGTTCTCTCACCTGCCCCTGCTGCTGGGCCACCCAGCTCTCTGCCCCGCCTCCTGTCCCCACGCCTCTGTTTCCAGCCTGGGTCCTGGGTTCTGGGTCTCGTAGGTGTCCTGTGAGGGCAGAGCCTTGTCCCTACTGCCCCAGCCTTAGAGACAGGAGCCACCTGGGCTCTGACCTCCAGCTCCAGCCCCCCTGGGGTGTGTCCTGACTTAGGTTCCAGCCCAGGGCCTGAGGGGACCCACCCTGAATGGTCACATTGTGTGCCCGCCAGGCATCTGGGCTCCCTGGGTCCCTCAGTGGCCGGGGCTGGGCGGTGTGGCCAGCCCCCCTCTCAGCCCCTGTGGGTGCTGTTTCCCAGGTACTGCACTCCGCGGCACCAGGACTTCGACGACCTGGAGCGCAAGTACTGGAAGAACCTCACCTTCGTCTCTCCCATCTACGGGGCGGACATCAGTGGCTCTTTGTACGATGACGTGAGTGCCAGGCCTGGAGACCCCTCTGCTCAGGGTGAGGGCCTCTGGGGCAGGAGCAGAGCTGGGTTGCTGGAAGGGGGCCGGGGAGCCCGGCCGCTGGTTGCCAGTCGTTCCCAGCAGGCCCTGGGGCCCCGTGGAGCCAGCCCCTCGTCCCACAGCACAGCGAGGGCTCGTGGCCGCGTAGGGCCTGCCCTGCACTCTGGGGACTCCACACTGGTTGCCCCATCTGCCCACCCACCTGGTGCCCTGAGTTCTCAGCCGTGAGGCCGCTTGCGATTCTCTGTGAGCTGGTCCTTGCTTCTGGCCAGGAGGCCTGCCCCTGCCCTGTCTTCAACACAGGTGCCCCTGCCAGGACTCTTCCTCCGCCCTGCACCTGACTTCTGCTCCTGGGTGGGGCTGGGGAGGGAGAGAAGCCTTGCAGAGAAGGCTCACGACCCCGCTGGCTGCCCTGGGCATGAGCATGTGCAGGTGTCCCTCAGAGGGCCTTGAGCAGTTGGGCCTCCCAAGCCCTTGGCCAGTGCCATGGCTGAGCAGCCCACACTCCTGCCTGCGTGGCCCACAGCCCGCAGTCCTTGGGCTACGGGGCCGCCACCTGCAGCCCAGGTGTGTCTCTCCTGAGCACTGTGCCACAGGAAGAGGGGCCCAGGCTGGAGGTGAGCTTACCTAGAGACACCAAGAGAGACCCATGGGAGATGCCCTCCTCCGAGCGCAGGGAGGGCCAGGAGAGCCGTGCAGCCTGACCCACCACTGCCTTCCGGGGCCTCGGTTTCCCCACTGATCACGCAGCACAGTGTGCCTGGGCCTTGAGCTCCTGTGCGCTCCCAGCCCCGAGCAGGCGGCAAGCTCGCAGAGGCCACGCAGCAGGCTCCCGGCTCTCCGCCTGCGGGACCGCACGGCTCCCTGTGAGGCCCAGCTCTGGCACGTGCTGCAACCTTGGCACACACCACAGAGCCGGTGACAGTGTACTGCATGGGAAGTCCAGAGACTGGGCTCCTTGTGCCACCACCCACCCCTCCTCCAGGCTCAGCCCGTCCCTCGCCCCCTGCCCTACTCCTGGTGCCACGCAGGGTCAGGGTGGCCTGTGTCAGCAGCTCCCTCCCAGCCAGACTGTGTTCCTGGAGCTTCCTGAGGACTGTGGGGGTGGGGGGGTAGCAGGGCATCTTTGTGCTGCCCTGCTTCTTCTCTGCGGGCCCAGTGAGAGTGTCCACCTCCCCAAGCCCCCATCTCCCGCCTCAGATAGCCGCAGCCCTGGCAGCCCTCCTGGTCAGGGCGGGCCCCTCTCCCCCGGCTCCTCCCGGCAGCTGCTCAGGCAGGACAGTGGTGTCTTTCTGGGTCAGGGTGGCTGCCTTTGCCTCTCGATTCCTGCCTGCACTCTCCTGTCCCGGATGCTCCTGTCACTGGGTCGTGCCCTGTGGCCCTGTGTGTCTGGTTCTCCTGCGCACGGGGTCCTCAGGTTTCTCCACGCTGTAGCTGTGGCACGCGTGACGCTCCAGGTGTGCATGGGACATGATCTATGTGGCCATCTGTCCACCCAGGGGGTCGTTGGTTGCCCCTGCTTCTCGGCTGTGGCCAGCTGCTGCTGTGAACATCTGGGTGCGTGTCTGCCTGGGAGTGCTTTATTGCTCGGGGGCCAATGGATGAGGGTGGCCCTGCTGGGCCACGTGGTGACTCCCTGTTAACTTGCTAAGGAGCCTCAGTGGGTCTGTTCTGTGGCAGCTGCAGCCTGTCGCATCCCACTGCAGGCTCGGGGCTCTGGCTTGGAGGACTGCCTAGCGCCTGCTGTTGCGTCTGTTCGCGTCTGGCCTCCCTGGGTGTGGAGTGGCCAGGTGGCTCAAGGTGCCGAGCGCCTTTCTGTGTGTTACTGGCCATTCCTGTGTTTTCTTTGGAGAAAGACTTATTTTTTTCTCTTATTGCTTATGCTTTGGTGTCTTTTCTAAGACACTATTGCCAATTCCAGAGTCATGACCGCGTGCTCCTGTTTCTTCCAAGAGGGTCATGGTTTGGTGCTGTGTCTGTGACGTGTCTTGAGTTCTTTGCCTTTTGTGCATGTGGGGGGTACCGGGGTTTGACCCCAGGGGTGCTCTACCTCTGAGCCACACCCCAGCCCTTTTTATTTTTAACTTTGAGGTGGGACCTTGCTAACTTGCCAGGCTGGCCCTAAACTTGCCTTCCTCCTGCCTGAGCCTCCTGAGTCGCTGCGACGATGACAGGCATGGTTGAGCTCATTTTGTACAGTGTGACGCAGGGGTCCAGATGCTCTTTCCTGCATGTGGCGGCCCCGTTGTCCCTGCACAATTTGCTGAAAAGACCCTTCTTTCCCCTTGAATGGTGTTGGTGCCAGGTGAGATCCCACATTCTTATTTACTTTTATTTAAAAAATAAACTTAGAATAGTTTTAGTTTCACAGAAAAAGTCAGAAAGTACCAAGAGCTCCCACAGAGCCTGGCTCCGGCCCTGCCCGGCCTCGCCCAGGCTGCACACCCACCAGAGCGGGGCTTTCGTGACCATGGACAACACTGTGTTGGTGCACCCTGTCACCAAAATGTCACAGCCCCTTGAGGAATGGCTGTGGATGTTCTGGGCCCCGTGTGTTTGGGCAGATGTGGGTGACATCTCTGCCATGGCGGTGCCACACAGTGAGTACACTGCCCCGGAGGCCTGTGCCCATGTGTGCGCCCACTGCTGACCCTGTGGAGGCTGGCTCGTCCTGTGCCTCCTCCTGCCTTTCGCAGAACCTGTGGTCGGCGACAGTGGCTGCTTTCTAGGCTGTCTTCTGAGGGGACGATGGCAGGGCTCCTCACCTTCTCCCTGCCTCCTGGTGCCCGGCACTGGCCACTGTCGGCTGGCTGCAGTCTTGACCATCCTGGTGGAAGGACACCGCCATCGTTCCAGGGCTGGGCGGTCGGGCAGAGGCCTGGCGTCTCTCTGCGGGTGGCATGTGAACATGAGCAGCTCTTGCGGGGGACGCTGCGAGCGGCTGGCTCAGGCGGCATCACGGCTTAGCTGCTGCGGAGCTGCCCTCCTGTGCCTGGGCTGGCCGTGCCTTCAGCGTCCCAGTGGAGATGGCTTCCTGCTGCTGCAAGTCCCCAGCCCCGGGCCGTGGGTGCCTGCATTCTGGCCACTCGGAGGGAGTGTGGGCGTCTCTTGCTGGTTGGGATCTGTGTTTCTGGTGCCAGCTAAGGGGTGTCTTGGTTGCTGCTGGCCGTCTGTGGGCCTCCTTCCGCGATGTGTGGGTTGGGTCTTTGGTTGAGGTTGTTGTGTCCTTCCTGTGGAGGTGTAGGGTCCTTCCTGTGCTTGGGCGGCAGCAGCCTGGGTCAGGTGTCTTTGCAAACACCTCTTTCAGCCTGTGGCTGGTCTCCTCGTTCTCTTACGGATGGTCCATTATTGTTTTTAAAAAAAAAATGAAAAGTGGAGCCTCGTCAGTCCCACGAGCGCCTCCACCTCCAGCCAGCCTGCCGCCCTGTCCCCGGGAGGGCTCACACCCACGCATCCATGTGCAGGCTACGGCGCCCCGAGCCCGGGGTCGGGAGCTGCAGGACCAGGTGGGACGTCAGCCCTTTGCGCCTCCTCGTGGCCGCAGGGCAGCGCCTTGCTCCTCCAGGGATGTTCGTGCCTGGCTCAGGCCGGCCCCAGGAGTCTTCTGGCCGACAGCATGGCCTGCCACATCGTGGAAGGGGTATGTGGTGCAGGGTCAAGGCTGCTGGGGGACCTGGTTCTCATGCCCTCACCCTGACCTGGGCAGCTCCTGCCTCTGAAGACCTTGGGTTTCCTACCCTCACTCCAAGAGGTCTGCTGCTGTCCCCTTGTTGTGTCCTGGGCCCCTGCCAGGGCTTGCTTTGCAAGTGTCTGATCTGCTGTGTCCCAGGGCCTGTGGTGCTGCGGTGGGTTTGGGACGTGAGGGAACATCCCTGAGTAGTTGGTGAACCATGTTTCACGCGCTGTATGGCAAGAGGTTCATCTGCCTGTGGAACTGGGAACCGAGGGTCTGGCAGTCAGGGCTCTAGCCGCGGTGAGGGCTCTGGACGCTGTCTCCGTCTCCTCTGTAGCAAGGGACTGGGAGGACCATTGCTGGGCGTGGGCCCGGGCCCCGGCCCTGGCCCTGGACTGGCCCGCTTGGAGGTCTCCTCCTCCCCTGTCACTGATCCAGAGGCACGTTGATCGTCCACCACCAGCTGCCGTCTTGCAACCCAGGTCGGCTCCCAGCGCCACATGCAGTCCGCTCTGTGGAGCAGTCCAGGCCGTGTGTGCCAGGCGCTGAGCCGGCAGGTGGCCTCAGTGGAGGGGCAGGTAGGGTGCCACCAGCCAGTGGGCCTTCAGCCCTTTCTGGGCATGGACTAATGGCAGAGCTGGTCCAGGTCCTCTGCAGTCAGCTCACATTCTGGACCTGGACGTGATGAGATGTGGCCTTCCCGCTCTTCCCGGAGCACTGGGGCAGCCGGGGCCACACACACACCTTGGATCACGGCCATGCTGACTGGCCGCTCTGCTGCCCCTGCAGGACGTGGCGCAGTGGAACATCGGGAGCCTCAGGACCATCCTGGACATGGTGGAGCGCGAGTGCGGCACCATCATCGAGGGCGTGAACACGCCCTACCTGTACTTCGGCATGTGGAAGACCACCTTCGCCTGGCACACGGAGGACATGGACCTGTACAGCATCAACTACCTGCACTTCGGGGAGCCCAAGTCCTGGTGAGTGGCGGCCACTGCAGCCTGGCCTCCCAGGGCGTCTGGCGGGGTCAGCTGGGCCTGGGCTGCCTTCAGGGCTTAGGGGCTGTGCTGGTGAGGCGGTGAAGGTGGGTGCTGGGGGCCCCAAGTCGCCAGGGACAGCCTGGTTTCCCCTCAGTGTCAGGAGGGGAGAGTGGGGTCTCCAAGTCCTGAGCCTGTGGTGTGCAGGCCAGGGTGGGACTGACCGGTTATGGTGTCCCTGTGCCACACAGCAGCCTCCGCCTGTCATGTAGTGGCGGTCCATGTGGGCGTTGTCCTATGGACCATGGGCCTTGACCCTGAATGGCTCTGGCCTTGCTCTTGGCCTCCAGGCCCCAGGGTGGTCAGCAGTGGCCTGCGGCTTGCAGGGCTTCTCGCTGGTGTACAGGGGCTGGGCAGGTGAGCTTGCAGCCGGAAGGCCACACCATAGAGACGGGGTGGCTGCATCTCAAGTGATGGCCCTGAGGGCTGTCCCAAACTGCCACCCCGTGTCCTCTCCAGCATCTGGAGAGTGATGCTGGGTGCAGCGCTCCCTTCCGCCAGCCTCTCTGGTGGCACCGCCATGGGCCGTCTTCGTCTCTGGCAGCCTCCGTTCCCCCTCGCTGTCCAGCAGTGCCTCTGACTTGCCCCCACCCCTGCTGGTTTTCAGAGGGGTGGGAGGAGGCCACACGAGCTGGCCCAGCTGAGGGGCCTGAGGAGTCACGGTGCCGAGTGTCCGGGTGTCTTGGTGTCGTGTGCGTCTGCCAGGAAAGGGGACCCCAGCACCGGGACTCCAGGGACGGAGCACAGGCGGAGCGGAGGCCTCTCTCCCTGCTCCCCACAGGCACTGGGCTCCACCCCAAGGGCCCTCAAGCTGCGACGGGCCTGGGACCTGGACCCCTGGGGCGTGCCCTCTCCCCGCTCCAGGGCCCCTGTGGGCTGCACACACCAGACGAGCTTCGAAGCCATTAGGTGCTCCATTCCAGGGCGCCCCCTCGGCTCCTGAGCTCAGGGAAGCGTGTCGGCCTCCACTCGCGGCTGCCCAGGCCAGGGTGCTGAGGGAGCTGGGTCGGGGTCCTCTATCTGCGGGGCCACAGCCGTGGAGGTCCCTCCATGCCTAGCCACGTCGCGAATGATGCTCTAATGCTGCTCCTTGGTGACACCGTGTGCTCAAGCAGAGTGACCCTGGTCCCTCACTGTTCCAGGTCACCCCAAGTCCCAGCCCCACGACCCCTGGGGGTGGAGGAATGCACGGTTCTCCAGGCTCCAAGCCACTCAGCACCCAGATGTTCTAGAGAGAGGAGCCTGAGCCCCTCCGTGAGGACCCAGTGTCCCCCCCCAGCTGGCTTCTCTGGACTCCGAATACGAAAGCGTCCAGGGCTCGTGTCGCCTCTGCCTTCCTTCAGGTCAGGGCCGGGCTCCTGCCTGGGGGTGGCCTGTGGCGAGCCGAGGCGCTGGCAGAGGCGTCCAGTGCTGTGTGGACGCTGGGCTGCAGGGCGAGGAGTCAGGCTGCTGTCCCCGGGGAGGGGTGCCCAGCTCAGTGGGGTCCAAGCCAGGAGGGGCGTCTGTGCGTCCTCCCCCACCCCCACGAGCCGGGGCTGTCCTGGTGCCTGTCTGCTGAGCCTCTCTGGCCCACGCCTCCTGGCTGAGCTGCTTTTGCTGGATTAACCTGAATTTCCAGGGTCCTGAGTCTGCGTCTGGTTGGAGGCTGAGGAGGCTGAGATGGGAGGCCGCTCGCTCCCCTGGCTTCTGGGGGATGGCTGCTGCCACCACCCTGACAGATCACACTTCTTGCAGTTAGAGCAGCACAGGTTTAAAGCCCCGAAGTCAGTCTGTTGGGCCAGACCCAGAGGCGCCAGGCTGCCCCCAGCCTAGGGAGAGTCCGGGCCCCTCCCCGCTCCAGAGCCAGTAGTGCAGCGTCCTCAGGCCCCGACTCGGGCCCCCCTGCCTCTCTCCTAAGGACCCCTGTGACCCTGCGTGACCCCAGCTCAGGGCCCTGCACTGACCCTACCTCAGAGCCCCTCTGTCCTGGGCAGTGCCGTCCACGGGTCCCTGGGAGGAGGAGGGCGCGTGCTGCCCACGGTGCTCTGGACTCGCGGGGTGCCTGTGTGCTGTGGAGCCCCTGCCTCCCAGGGGGTCCTGTCGTCAGCCCTGTGCCTCCGCCTGGGGCCTTCTCAAGAGAGAAGCCTGGCCCAGGCCTGCTGAGTCCCCACGGGCACCTGGTAACAGGTGGCGCTCACAGGACGGGGCAGACTGGGGCTCAGGGACATGGGGACGTGGGAACTCTAGGTCGGGTGTCCACATTTCTAGAATCATTTGAAGGGGTGTCGACAGCTCTGCCTCCCCAGCAGCCCAGGGCCTGTGTTTGGGGAAATGAAGTGCCACATTCCAGGGTGTCCTGAGCCCAGCTCAGGTGGCATTTCCTGGACGGTGGCCCTAAGCAGTCCTGGGTGGAAAGGGCCCAGCCAGCGATCCCCGCAGCCCCTCCCACAGCCCTCCTCCCTGAGAACAAGCTGGGACCTGCCCCAGGCAGTGGCAGCAGGGTGGCTGCGGCTCTGGCCCGAGTCCCCCCACGTGGGTGAGGTGCCTGGCCACCACGGCTCAGTCTGCCAGCTGCCAGCAGACTGGGTGTCCCTGACAGGCGGGTGGCGTGTGGCTGTGCGGACGGTGGCCTGCTGGCTGCCTGCTGGCTCCTCACACCTCCAGCGGAGGCCGTGGTGTGAGTGGGTGTGCTGGGTCCTAGCCTGCCGGTGTGCACACACTCTGACCCTGGTACTGGCTGCCGTGGGATCTGAGGCTGAGGAAGGTCCAGGAGGCCGGCCCTACCCCTGAGGACCACTAGGTGGCGCTCCTGCCCTTCTGCTCTGGGCTGTGCCACCATGGAGTCCCCTTGGCTTCCACCTGCGCATCCTGCTGGGAGAGGCACTGGGGGAGGGCAGAGACCGCCGGAGGGGTGGGGCAGGGGGCACGCTCACCCCCAGGTGACTTGTGGTCTCCGGGTCTGGCGGGGAGAGTACCCCCCTTCTCCCCAGAGCACAGAGGAGGGAGCACGTCGCAGGTGCAGGGAGTGGGGGAGCCCTGGGGCCTGAGCTCCTTCAGGTGGCCGCAGGAGTCCCCAGGAGAGGACCTGTGCCTTCAGACCCCTGCCACCATGGGGATGGTGGGGCCCGTGAGGGTGGCCCTGAGGCGCTCCCTCCTGGCCAGTCATGGAGGGCTGGGGGCCCTGCTGGTGGGCGGCGGTGGCTGAGGTTGGGGTGCTCGAGGCCAGAGTGACGTCGGCAGCAGGGACTCCGGTGTCAGGTGCAGGCTGTGTCCGGTGTGCAGAGTCCTCACTGCCCAGCGAGAGGGCGGTGCTCCTGAGAAGCATGGCAGGTGGGCAGGGGCCCGGAGCCTGCGGCCTCTCTGTGGCCTGCTCTTCTGTGCACGTGTCCCCGGGCCCCAGGAGGTCGCGCCCTCTGCCTGCCCGCTGCCCTCACCTGCCCTGGTTTGCTTGGGTGGCGCCTGGTGCTCAGCAGGCTGGGCGCACTGCCTGCTGCCCACCTTCCCGTGGCCCTTGTCAGGAGGCCTCGGGCAGCAGCCAGTGGGCCAGCCTCAATCCCGCCAGTCCTCCTGGAGGGGGAGTGCCCGCAGGGGCCCCATGTGGCCTCACGGGCTTCCTGCAGGGGAGGGTTGTCGTGTCGTCCCCCCCGCTGTATGATGCTGCCCTGAGCTCCCCATGCAAGGAAGGCACAGGCCAGGCTGGCGGCACCGCCTCCCCTCAGCAGGCCCTGGCCTTTAGGGCAGGGCCCTGGTGGCTCCTGAGCCTCTAGGATCCCTGTGTGCCTCGCCCTGAGGCCACCTTCCCTCCTGGGAGGTACCGCCTGGGCAGCTGTCCCTGGGCTGGGGCTTCAGGAGGCTGCGCAGGCCCTAGCAGTGTGACGCTTGCTGCCACTCGCCTCGCCAGCCCTGAGCCGGAGGGGCTCCTGGCAGGTGCCGCAGGTGTTGCCGCAGGTGAGGCTGCGGGCGGCCGAGCCTGGTGTTTGTCTCCTAATGACACTGCTCTTCTTAGGTCTCTGGTAGCTTAATTGTGACTACTCGGTATTTTGGTGGCATCTTGGGGAGTGTTGACGTGTGCGGGGTGGCGAGTTTCATCAAGCCTCTCTGGGTCTGCTGCCACTTTGGTAGTGGGATGTGGGATCTGTGTGTTGGAGTGACGTGAGCAGCCTGGTGTCAATAAAAGCATAGAGGGGGGCTGGGAAGGGCAGCGTCATGAGCCGCTGCCCGCAGCCAAGCCGAGGATGTCGCAAGCAGTGGAGTACCTCCAAGTCCCTCCTGAGGCGGGAATGGAGAACACTTGGCACCTCGGCCTGCTGCCTGGCCCTGAGGGCAGGTGGGAATGGGCATGGGCACCGGGGACACTGGGCAGTTTCCCCTGAGCCCTGTGGGTCTTCTGTGAGGAGTGCTGGCCCGGGCAGCCCAGGCTCATGACTGTAGGGTGTGGTAAGCCGGCGACAATGCCCTCTAGCAGGGGCCACTGTGGGTGCACTTGTCTAGTGCCCAGGGCCACAGGCGGTGTGCCGCTAGGGCAGGTGAGGCGCACTGTGGCGTGTACTCGCATGAGGCCTCCGGGCGGCCAGCTCTCAGTACCGTGGCAGGACACCTTGGGGCCCCTCATGGCGGGCAGAGCTTCATGGGCTCACAGTTTGGAGGTTTCAGTCCACGCGGTGGGATCCGCACATCCTGTAGGGACAGGTGAAGGCCACCCCCTCCCTGTGGCCTGGACGCTGAGGACGGTAGCCCCAGGGTCCCATGGCCTCTGGAGGGGCACACCCCCGCCTGGCCCCACTCCAGTTGGCTCTCCCAGCTCTCAGGCTGGAACTAGGCCTTTGGGGACACTCCAGATCCAAACTACAGCAGCCTGTGTCCTCGCTGCATGTCCCTGGAGTGGGGGAGGGAGCCCCATTGGGGACAGGGGTACAGCAGGCCCGGGTCAGCCCTGTGAGCCTTAGTGCTGGGCAGTTCCGTGC